GCATCTGTTGAAGCTCTTAAGATTTCTGAATTATCTTCTTTTTTTATGTCATTGATTTGTTAGATAAAGCAGGTTATTCATCTTTGCTGATATCGCTGTTTGCTTCCTTGTAGTGTTATTTAACTTCTCTGCCCTCTGTATTGTAATTTGGTATGAGATCTAGACACTTGATTAGGTTCAGACTAAATTTTTTTCTTTAGTCAAAACTACATCAGCCCTGGCGGGTGGCTCAGTTTGGAGCACCACCCTGTGCACCAAGAGGTGGTAAGTTCGATTCCCACCAGGGCACATATCTAGGCTATGGGTTTCATCCCCAGTCAGGGCACTTACAGGAGGCAACCAATCGCTGTTTCTCTCTCACATCGATGTCTCTCTTCTCTCACATCTATGTCTCTCTCTCTCTCTCTCTCTCTCTCTCTCTCTCTCTCTTTCTCTCTCTAAAATCAATAAAAACATATCCTGCCCAGCTGGTGTGGCTCAGGGGTTGAGCACCAACCAATCAACCAGGAGGTCACAGTTCGATTCCAGGTCAGGGCACATGCCTGTGTTGCAGGTTCTATCCCCAGTGTGGGGTGTGCAAGAGACAGCCAATCAATGATTCTCTCTCATCATTGATGTTTCTACATCTCTCTCCTCCTCTTCTTCCTCTCTGAAATCAATAAATATATACTTTTTAAAAAAGTAACTTAATTGACTTTAGACAAAGCATGAATTATTTTATCTTTGAAAAATTTGAAGGATCTTTCACAGTTTCTCTCAGTAGCCCATTTTAGCATCAAAACAGAGCATTTTAAACCTTAAAAAAAATCAGGCAATGCTATTTCAGCAACTTGTGACTTAGGTGACTCACCCCCTGGGCTAATTCATGTGCTAGCCATTTAAAAATTAGAAAAGGTATGATCATTAGACGGTGATCGTGAAAAACTGTCTCAAACCTTGTCTGGGATATAACTTTTGTATGATAGCATTGACAATCTCCTTTTTAGGAAGAAATCACCATTTCTGACAAACTATAATCTAATTGTGATAAATTCTAAAGGGATTATGAAATATTCTGAGAAATTCGCTTTTCTCACTCTGTGTTGATTGTCAACCAAAAATTAAAGTCTTTAACCAAATACTATTTTATCTTTTCGTATTAATCTAAGTCAGTGGTTCTCAACCTTCCTAATGCCGCGGCCCTTTAATACAGCTCCTCATGTTGTGGTGATCCTCAATTTCATTGTTACAAGTTGAACATAATTAAAGCATAGTGATTAATCACAAAACAATATGTAATTATATATGTGTTTTCTGATGGTCTTAGGCGACCCCTGTGAAAGGGTCGTTTGACCCCCAAAGGGGTTGCGACCCACAGGTTGAGAACCGCTGATCTAAGTAGTCACCTAAAAAAAACAAAAACAAAAAACTACATGTCTCTAATTTGAGTGACTCTTTGAACTGGCCTGTTCTAGGTATTTTCTCTTGTGGCAATATTAAAATATTAAAATAAAACTTTAATACATGCTCATAATTAAATCATCTGAAAGGTTTTTTAAACCATTGTGAGGCTCATTATGTCAAATATACATAAATAAGCCTCATTTTTTTTTCTTTTAATGATGATGATTGTGTGTGTGTGTCCTACATTCTGTCTCACCCAGGTTAGCACATTATAGTGGCAATAATCAACCTTAGGAGTCTAGGAAAGTAAAAAGTTCTGTTCAAAGGCTACAAACTAGCTTAAGCTAGATCCTTGATGTGGCATCCTATTAATATCGTAAACATTAATTACACTGATGTGAAAGGAAGGGGGGAGAGGGAAGGACAGAGGAAAAGAAGGAGATATTTTATGCCAACTCCTCTCTCTCTGCCAGTGGGCAGCGGAATCTGTATTGGTATCTGTATTGTAAGAACAACCCGGGGACTCACCAGATAGTTTTTGAATGAATGAATGAATGAATGAATGACTACCCCTCTGGGAGTACCAGATAACTATTGCTTGAAGGTGAAGAGATGGAGTAAGCATCTTCAGCTTATTTCCTGTTTTATGATTCTGTGGTTTCTTTGACTTTTAAAAACTGGTTATGCAAATATATTTTAAAGCCTGAAAAGCAAAATGCTCTCAGAGAACAGGCAGGGGGAAAGCACATCTCAACGCATCCACTTGAATAATTCATATCATGATTGTTTACACGGACAAGCGCTGTCGATGCATAAAGACCACGTATACCCCCAGAGCTAACTTAGGGCTGGAATCTGACTGTAACGTGCCAAGTTCCCTTGCACCCAATAGCAGCCGACCTGCTTTCAGGGGTGCACACTGGGGAGCAGGCAGCGGCGGTTCCAGTGGAGGCTTTCTCCCTCCGATGAGGAAAAAACTGCTGAAGTCATGAGGCTGCCCCAGCAGAGCCCTCATGTGAGTCATATGAAAGCTCCAGCGCTGCTGACCTCTGGCAAAAAGGCAGTGACCGGGGACAGGAGAGGCCGAGAGGGAGAGCCTCCAGCGCCAGCTTTCTCCTGGAGCCTGGAAGACTATGGGCCAGGAGCTGTGCGCAAAGACGCTCCGGCCGGGCTGCAGCTGCCATCGCTGCTGGGAGGGAGGCGATGCGCGCAGCTGTCAGAGGAGAGCGCCCGAGAGGACGGAGGCTACCATCCAGGTACTTGTCTGCCAGCAGCAGCAGCATCTGTCTCTGCTGACAAACCCAGGAGAGCAGAGACCCACTCCCTTCCCCGTGACAGGCAGGGGCTGATGGTTCTGCGGTAGGTCTCAACCAATAAAAAGGAATTTCTATTAAAGTCACGGGGAATGTACGGCCATTGTTATCAAATTTGGAGATTTGCTTGTAAACCAAAAGGGAAAAATAACCCGAGGCTTTGAGCTGGAACTCAGTGGACTTGAGGTTGAGAAAGGAGTTGTTATTCTCCTGAAACCTCTCCAGGACTGAAGAGCAGGGCGACCTCCGCGTAAAAAGCACGTCTGCAGTATTGCTGTGCTGCGGACTTAAATGTTCAGTGATCAGCTCGTGGTGGTTAGCAATGCCATCCTAGAACGTTATCCCCCTACAGGGATAAATGAAGGGGACATGGCGGAGGGGGGCGGGGGGACAAGTGTGAGTTAAACAGAGAGACATTGGGAACCATCCATCAAAGAAATTTAGGTTAGCCAAGTTTTCAAGGACATATTTTTAGGTGAAGAAAGAATGTAGTGTTTCAACAATGGATATTCTTAAATTGTGTGTGTGTGTGTGTGTGTGTGTTTGTAAGTGATCTGACCTTCAGGAAAGGTGCCTTATGAGGGTACAGAAGCTTAGGAAATATTTGAAAAGTGAAAATCGGGCGCACACACAAAAAAATGAAAGAATTGTTTATGCCAGCCACTAGGTCTTGACATTGCAGGCATTTCATTCCTGCACTTTCCTTTTTTTCTCTAGCTAACGGACCTCAAAGAAGCATCACGTTCCATGACTTCATTTCACCCCAGGGGACGTCAGGCTGCCCATGCCCGGAAGTGCAAGAGTAAAAGGCCACGCAGTAACAGTGAGTCTTTTCAGGAAGAGGATCTCAGGCAGGGCTTTCAGTGGGTGAGTGAGCAGCTGATGCTGATCAAGAGGGTTTCATGTGTGCTCGGTCTAGCGAGGCTGCCCCCCGCCCCCTCCAGGGCAATTACTGAGCTGACCTTCCAAGTACATTCCAGCAAATTCCTCTGAGGGGATAGGGGCGGGGGGGAGGGAGTCAACACACAAAAAAAGTGCTCTTTCTGTCTTTCCCACCTCTCACCCCTACCTGTTCCCTTTAAGCCCACGAAGAGCCTCCTCCCTTTTGGGGCAGCCTCATCCTACTTGAACTTGGAGAAGCTGGGTGAAGGTTCCTATGCTACGGTTTACAAGGGGATTAGCAGGTGA